TATCATGTCCACATTACATTGCTTCCAAGATTGAGACAAGCGGTACCACTAGACTCGCCGGGCCAAATACTATGCCTACTCGAGGTTCATATGCTCCGTACATATCTCGTATTACCAGTATTGGTATGAATGAAAATTGTTACAAATCGGCTGTTTATTATTTTGATGTGAGTGAACACGTGGATGGAATGAAATGAATTTTGAGTGATGTCTGCCATGAACGTTTGAACAGTTGGGCAATCGCAACCACCTGCTTGACCGTGTACGTCAGATGGCGGGGGATGCATGGTGGGGCAACGTCTTGAGGCGACAGTAAATTTTTGGTCAACGCCGCCGCCATCATGACCTCCGACTCTGGCTCCTCCACGCACTCCGATTCGCTGCCTGCTGCTCTGCATCTCCCCTCGCCGTTTGCAGACACGGGCAAAGAGACTGCCCACCTCGCCTTTGCACCCATAGCGCTGGCGCAATACCACAACGTAGTCGAAAAACTGGCCTCCAACAACGTCTACCGCATCCTCCGCGCACCCGGGCCCATTCGTGTATGGGTCTACCGATCGCTACTCGCCGAGCACCAACTGTGGAATGACTGGGACCGCCGCGCGCCATCACCGCCCGACGTGAAGCCTGAGACGGAGCCCGCCATGGCCGAAGGCAGCATCAACGACACGGAGAGCGTGGGCGACTCGGAGCGGCCCGAGAGCTCGTCCGGCATGACCGCGCGACCCTACCTCACCCGACTACGCCTCGCGCTCGCGCCCTATACCGTGCATTTCCACAACCCCGGCTATGTCCGCGACGATACACTGCGCATGCTAGAGCGCGACGTGGTGAAGAAGACGCTGGAAGAGTCGCGGAAGAGCCTCGAGTTGCGCGAAGAACTCGGCCTCTCGTGGGAGTTCTGGGACGATCTCGCGGGCGTGCTCAAAGCCGCTATCCCCTCGCTCGAACGCCGCTGTTTCGCTGCGCCGGATCCTGCTGCGCCTGAATATGAGGGTCTGTCGGGCCCGCTCATTGCAAGCTATTCGCCGAGTCTGCTGAGGGATCTGGAACGGCTGAATCAGCTTGTGTGCATTGCAAGGAATGTGCAGGTACATGGCGAGAGGGTGCAGAACTTGAGTGCAGACAGGCTCTTTGACAAGGACATTTTTGCATTGATCAATGTCTGCGTACGCGTTACGGCGCGGGGGTATGATGGTGAGGCTGGAACCCAGGACGAAGACAAATGGCAGGGCGTCATTAATGCGTACAAGAAGCTCCTCATCACTTGTTTGCAGTTCCTCAACAATCTCATCGCGCGGAACGAGCAGCGGAAACTGATGCTCTGGATCGAACTATTTGACAGTCATCTCGACAATGAACTGCCCAACTTCGCAGACATGAAGTACAAGATGGATGAGTTTCCGCAACAGGATCAAGGCCCACCACCGGAGGAGCAGCCTCTACCCACTCACGCAGCGCGGAGTCTGGACGCGTTCAAGATTTCTCAACAGCCTGCGTCCTCGCCATTCCTGCTCTACATCGGCGAGACTGGCAACGACGTCAAGAAGGCCCTGATACATCATGGTGTCAAGGCGGGCGCAAACGAGATTGCTGCCGAATGCAGGCGGAGGTGGCAGACTATGGGCGAAGAGGAGAAGAACGTAAGCTACATCTGTTCCATGACCTGATTCCTGCTAACACTTTCAGAAATGGAATATGCTGTATGCAGACGTCGTGGCTAGATACCGCGACCAGATCACTCAAACAAGCACATACCGCAAAGTCGTGGATCAGCATGCCAAGAACGAAGAGAGTGTACAGGCGCTGGCGAAGAGCATCAACCAACTCCAAGTGGAGGTCGACAGGATGCGGTCATCCATCACAGCTCTCCCTGGCGACGAGTCCAACAGCGAGCAAGCATCCCAACCCACAGCGGAGAAGCAATCCCCGAAACCAGCATTGGATGACTCGTTACTAGATCCCAGCATCAAACGGTCTCCCCCGGCAGGTGAGATCGATTTCCGTGTGACATACCCGCCATCCTTCGGTGCGGAGATACTCCAAAATGGCAAAGAAGATCTGCTTAAGCGGCTGGAGCCAGACCCCGACCGTCCATCAGGGCTAATCAGTGACGTAGCGTCTCCTACCTCTCCTCCGCCAGAGGATGACGATGACAATGATGACGACTACGACGACATACCTGGTGATGAAGGCCGAGGGTTGCTCACAGATGTTCCGCTTATTCTGGGTCCTACTGAGATTGAGGTTCTGCCTATGATCATCATGGCGGGAATTGTTGAGCCAACGGAAGGACAGCCTGGTCATCATTCCGATCCGACTGTTTTCAGCAGTGTCAGGAGCATGCATGGTGTTCGGTGTCATTTGCTTCTTGCGCAGGACAATGGCCGGAACTTGCTGCGCGAGTTGTTGATTTTCGTTGCTGCTTGGGATCTGCGCGAGGAAGAGTTGTACTTCAAGTTCATGGTCAAGATCATGGAGGCTATTCTTGCCAATCAGCTACTGCCGTTTGCTTACCATGCCTTTAGAGAGTCTGAGTAAGTACATCCATGGGACACGTGGTATCTGACTAACATTACGACAGATCCAAGGACATCATCTCTCCGGCTCAGGCAGTCATCATGAAGCTTCTCACAAATATCTTCCGCGCCAGACAGGCCCGTGCCCAGCCAACGAAGGGTCATCTCAAGGCAAACCACCCGCAGGTCGACCAAGGCGATGTTCACATGGTCAACTTCCTACTTACCGAGTTCCGTCGCCATATCATCCCCCAGACATGTGCCCTCATCTTCCTGCAAGGCCAAATCCGCGCGGGACATGCGCAACCCGAAGACTTCCCTCTCAATCTGTGGGACATGGAACGCATGTATGAGGGCGTTTACCAGTACCTAGAGTTCTTCGCTATTCTCACAGAACACGAGACGTGGAAGAGGATGCTGAGCAATTGGGAGATCTCACATGAACTGGTGACCTTGTTGAAAGAGCTAGATGCAGCGATACCCAAGGGTCAGCTATCGCCGCCTCCGCTGAGGAATGTCCAGCACGCGCCACCACCTCCAGCCCCAGTAGAGGTCCACATCCCTCCATCGCACCAGCAGCAAGACCAGCAACAGCCACCCCAACCCCAACCAGTCGCTGTCGAACGACCATACGACACCACAGCCGGCGCAGCCGAAGCCTACATCCCTCCACCCACCTCACCCTCACCCCGACCCTACATGGACGAAGCAGCCGACGAGCCCTCAGACTTCGAGTGGCGCAACCTGAAGAAACTCGCCGTCCTCGTCCTCAGCTCCCTGGTCTGGAAGAACAAGCACGTCCAAGACCAAATACGGCCGTTGGGTGGTATTGAGGCGGTGTTGAACTGCTGCTCCTACGACGAACACAACCCTTATATCCGCGAACACGCTATAATGTGTCTTCGCTTCCTCATGGAAGGGAATAAAGAGAATCAAGACCGTATTCACGCGCTGGAGAAATATAATCAGGATGCCAATGCGAAAGCAAAAGCCCCTGCCGCCCCCGCCGCGGCATCAAGCCCACATCCAAACGCGAACCCTGCTGTCCCGGGCGCGAGCAGCGCAAGTGGTAGTGGTAGTGGTAGTGGCAGTGGCAGCAGCAACCGATCACCAGTCAACGTCCGCGTCCCCGACGAAGTGCTCGACCAACAAGGGTACGAAACCTACATGGACAAACAAGGCCAGGTCATGCTGCGGAAACGTCAACATGTGCCCCAGTCTTCGGCGTCGCATATTATGCACCAGCAGCAGCAGCAATTGCCGATTCAGAATACGGAGCTGACGATGGGGACAGATAATGGGGGTGGTCAGAACATGAACAATGGCAATGCCAATGCCAATACCACCAGCAGTACTGGTACTGGTAACGTTGGAAGTAACAGTACCACTACCACCACCAAAGGCAAAGCCAAAGCCGACTCCGCCCAAGCCGTCTGGGATAACATGCGCGCTACTGCCCTGGGGGGTATTGGCGGTACGATGACGGGTGTCGGGGGTGGTGTACGTGATCCCAAGGCCCTGGAGGAGATGGTGGAGCGCGTTATGCATAATCTGCCCAGGTTGCAGGGACTCAGGGGTGGGGAGGAGAGGGCGGTCGAGGTGGAGGAGGCGCTGAAGAAGTTGGATAGGGGGTTTGATGGGGGGAGTTAGGGGGGAGGGAGAGGGATGGGGAGATAGGTGGGAAGGTTTATTATGCACAGGTTTATTACTCGGCGTTGCTTCCAGTCATAGTTCAATAGGGAAAGCAGCTAAGGCTCCTAGACATCTTTCTAGGGTTTAGGCTTGTAGCATATCATTCAGATCAGGTCAGTAACAACTTCTAGTGTAAGCGCGATATCAATTGAACATGTATGTTCGAAAGCAAGGACACCGTTTTTTTCATGTCTGTGACATTTGCTAAGACCTTGTCATGTAGTAAAGAGGATACCTTCGTCATGTCTAGAGACGCGACCTGTGATAGTAGAATTATCATGCAGAGCAGCACCTCATACAAGAAAACAACTGAAGAGGTCTAGAGCTTGAATTAACGCTAGGTCACCTATCTTGTAGGTTTTTATGTTAATTTAGACTGCAGGCCTGTTCAGACTTTTCTTGGTTGACGTGGCAGGACAAGAGAACGCGGCTAGATACCTCTCTCTGATGATCTCGATGCAGGTATACCTAGGTATATCCCAAACGCCTCGCAATGCACCCTACATAAGAAATTCACTTGATAGGTGCACCGGGATTATGTCAGTATAAGAAGCAAAGGTTCAGCAAGAACATGCGACGATACAGATATCTAGGAGGTAGGTGTCCGGTTCTTCCCGAGGTCCTTGAATGGGGTGAAGGCGCTCGCGTGGCGCTAACGCACGAACAACCCCGCCACAATCCTTCAGCCTCGCCGCAGCACATCGGTTGTGACACAGCCTTGACCGGACATGAGAATGACCTCAAGCGCTCATCCTCATGGCTTGAGCGTCACTTCGTGTACACAACACAATGTCAGGCTTCGGGTTTTCAATCGGTGACATCGTCCTGGTGGGCAACTACGCCTACTCGGTCTACAAGTCGTGTAAGAACGCTGGTGACAACTTTAGGGAGATCACTTCGGACGGTAAGTTCTCTTTCGCTGACGCTAGCACAGTTCGTGCAAATTCTGACGTAGCGCTTGATAGTGGCTTCCCTACGCACACTCCTCCTCGCTCTAGATGATGAATGCAAGAACCCACAGTCTTCGTTCCAGCAGCTTTCCCCCGCGCAGAAAGGCGAGCTCGCTGCGCGCTTGCAAGACTGCAAAGCCGACCTCCGCTCGGTCAAGAAGATACTACATGACTTCCGCTCGCTCGACAAACGCGATGCGCGGTACCGAGATAGGCTCGCTTTCACGACTGGGAAGCAAGCTGCGATACGGGAGAAGATAGCGACGCATAGTGTTCGGCTCCAACAATTACTAAGCGGCATCAATGTCGGTACGCTATCTAGGATTGAGAGGAACACCGATGCCCATCACCTATCGCTCCTGGAAATTCGAGCTAGCCTGGACCGGATCCACATGGACGTGCTTGCGGGCAGGCGTGATGCCGCAACATTCATGAACGCGGAGGATGCGGTCGCGTTAGAAGATGAGGTCCTTGATGACCGAATGACGGAAGTCGATGTTGACGTGTCGTATGAAGTTCATGCCTGGGCGGAAAGAGTACGCACGGAAAGCTTACAACCGTTATCGAGGTCTGGCAATGGGATCGGCTCTGGCGAGGCTGGTCGCACGGTACGCCCAAGCAGAAACAGTCGAAGGATAAGTGGTGTGCAAGAGCCTTCGAATACCCATCGTTCCGGAGACGATAATCGCATACGCCGCAACAGCCGTGTCTCCCCAGGTGATGGCTCTATCATCAATGAGCAGAGTAGTCGGGCTGAGGACAGGCGAGAGTCTCTGGAAGGCCGTAGAGCTCCTGAGGATGGCGTCACTCCGCGTCAAAATTACGCACCCCGCGCACTCCAGGAGTCTCTGGATTCCCCCAGTAGCAGACCCACGGACTCATCCAGGAAGGCTAGGTATCGAAGGGCACTACTTGATCTACGGGATCGCCCATGCTCGCATTCGGAAAGTTACTTATTTCCTGGGGCATGGTACACCTTCGACGAGCAAGAGAAGCGCTGGGTCAAACAAACGCGTTCCTACACTAAGTGGCGCCCAAAGAGGGCATCCAGTGTCCTAGAGTATGTAGATCTGACTCTTGAAGAAGTATTCACTGGGACTGTGAAGTATTTCACGCTTCGACGGAGCACCTCAACGACCGACAATGAAACATCTTTCGAAGACACCAAGATCAATCTGAACATCGGAAAAGGGGCGGTTAATGGAACCAAGTTCAGCTATATTGTCCGAACAAATCCATCTGAGACGCACAAAACGGATGTTGTTTTCGAAATCCGACGCGTAAGCTTCCAGGTCCTGATACACAATATCGACATACTAATGCTTTGCAGAAACCACACAAGTTGTTCCAGGATGTTTGGGCCAATCTAGCCCACAGAATCCATCTTTCACCAACAGAAAACAAAGAAGGCTGGAAGAGAAAGATACGAAACATCGACGGCGAAACGATATCAGTATACGCGAACGGACCCTTGACTACTGGGCAAATTTTGGCTTTGGATGGCCATGGACTGCCTTACAGCGGACGGCCTAGCAATCGAGGAGTGCTCATATTGCAGATAGGGTATTCGTCCTTTGATGGGGCTGGTCGCAACATTAGCTTGGATCGAATTTCTAGGAGTGAAGATAGACCGCACTTCTGCGCGCAGCTGGACAAGCCGAACGCAGAAGTGGTTGTCTCAACGGAATTTCCTAATAAGTATCATTTGACGGTGATAAAGGCACTGAAGTGACCGACGTTAGACGTCGCCTGAGGCCTCCAGGTTTATCACGTCTAAGGCCAGGCACGTCAACATGATGGATATTCCCAATACCTCGGCGCCAGCGCAGACAAGCACGTATCCAATTAGTAAGGCTCCAGAAGTCCATATATCCATATCACCGCATGATGAACTCACTCAGCACCACCGCGACCTTATTGAAGCTCTACACGCACCCTTATCCCCTCTCGGAGATACTTCACATCATGCAACGTATCCCTCAAACCTGCTCACGGTTTCCCAGGAAATGACAGAATACATTTAAACAAAGCATCGCGAACATGAGGGTCGATCGTCATAGTCAACCTGTCTCTTTGGTATCGATATCGTCGTGGCTTAGGGTGCTCGGCCCCCGGGGTTTCGTTACCCGGACTCGGCAAACCTCCGCTCGTGCAATCTGCATTTTCCCAACACCACACTTATCGGCATCCGCCCTCACTTATCAACATCCGTTGCCGTCGGATGCCATCCGATCGGCTGTCAGATAAAGTGCCGACGAATTACCGATGAAAGATAACAGCCGACATAACGCGTATCTCCGCGTTGGCGTACGTCGCCGCCGCATGTAGCAGGTACCAAGACCATCGCGCCCTTGATTACTAGGCAGATTGTGGGGTAGTGGAGTCGGGAGTGGAGACGAACGTCGATACGAATGCAACGCAGGACAAGGTATACGACCGATCTCGGAAGGATAGCAGACGTCGGATGTTGTTATATACAATCCAACGATGGCGCCGCTGGACCTAGCTCCAGCGTTGTGCGAACGCGTCGCGTCAATTTTACATTCCCGCATCGACGCCATCATGGGCCACACCAGCATGGCTCAGCGACTACTCACCAGCTTCGCGCTGCTCACCACCAGCGTATCTAGCGTTTCTGCAGCATACAACACTTCATCTGCAGTCACGCTTCCCGGCTATGGCACCTTTGTCGGCACCACGGTCTCGCAAACTTTGACGAAGAAGCCCCTAACACGCGCTGTAGACGCCTGGCTCGGTATCGACTATGCGTCTCAGCCTGTTGGAGAGGCAAGGTTTGCGCCTGTTGGTGCGCCAGAGCCCTTTGACGGTGTTAAAAACGCGAGCAGTTATGGATACTCGTGTTTCCAGGATCCAGACGAACTCCCATATGAACTGGACGAGGCGTGTCTGAGCATGAACGTTTTCCGGCCGCAGGGCGTTGCGGAAGATGCGGAACTACCGGTGCTGATCTGGATTCATGGGGGTGGCTTCGTTGCTGGAAGCGCGAGGAGCTTCGATGGCGCTTCCTTCGTGGCTAATTCGAGGGAGCCGCTGGTTGTTGTCACTTTCAACTACAGGGTAAGCATAGCTATCGTCTTCACACGAGTCAGGCTAATGTCACACAGGTCAACTCTCTGGGCTTCCTTCCGTCTCCAGTCTTTGAGCGCGAAGGACTTCTTAACCTCGGACTCCGCGATCAGGAAACTCTTTTCAAGTTCGTCCAAAAGTACATCCCTGCTTTTGGAGGCGATGCCTCTCGCGTCACTATTGGAGGTCGCTCAGCTGGTGCGCACTCAGTCGGCATCCATCTCTTTCACAACTACAACGAAACCGAGGGTGCACCGGCGCTCTTCTCGCAGGCTCTTCTCCAATCCGGAAGTGTGACTGCCCGGGCTTTCCCCAATGCATCTTACCCGCTGTACCAGGAGCAATTCGCGCAATACCTTAGCTACACAGGTTGCAGCGCAGTAGCCAACAGCACCGATGCCGAAATCCTTAGCTGCCTACGGTCCGTACCCATCGATGCCATCCAGAACGCCAGTGCCCTGCTATGGCGCGCCTCAGAATACCCCATCACGTGGCCTTTCCAACCCACGCGAGGCGGTCCGCTCCTTGAGCAAGCTGGCTCAACATCCGGAATCAACGAACAGTTCTACCGCATCCCCACCATCACCACCAACGTTGTCGATGAAGCCAAGTACTACTCCCCAGGCGACATTTCCACCAACGAAGAATTCCTCGCCTTCATCAAGAACCTGATCCCGGGCCTGACTACTGACGATCTTGAGGATCTCGAGGAGCTTTACCCTGACCCAGCGGACGACATCAACGGCCCTTACGCCCACAGCCCGAACTCCACACAGTACAACCGCATCTCTGCCGCGCTTACCGACTACATGTACGTCTGCGCGGGCCAAGAAACCGCCATGCGCATGTCGTCTGCCTCAGTACCCGTTTACAAAATGGTTTTCGCCGTAAACAACACGTTCCCTACTTGGAAAGGCATACCCCACACCGCCGACACAAAGTACACATGGGCTGAACCGGCCGGTAGCGGTGGTGTGCAGTACCCCGAGGTAGGCAAAGAGTTACTCAATGCGTACTTCTCCGACTTTGTTGCGCTCGGCGATCCAAATGCGGGGAATAGGACTGGTGTACCGGTTTGGCCAAAGTATGAGGATGAGGGCGAAGGTAGACCGGGGTTGCAGTTGCGGATGGAGCCATTTGGCAACAGCAGGGTCGAGGGAGATGCGATTAGGAGGCGTCAATGCGAGTGGTGGAGGGACGAAAGCAGGGCTGCGAGGTTGGAGAAGTAGGATGATAGGATGGAACTTGGGTAGTTGACTGAATTCCGCAATGTCCGTACAGAAACGACTCACAAGCTGCACTTCGCAACGTTATTGCCGTCGCATCTTCAACCCCGAATCGTAAACTCACGAACACAATGGCTGTTGCACTAGAACTGTTCTTCTTCGCATACCGTATCGCCGTTCCCGGGTTGACACGCGGGGACGCACGCACGCGCCCCACATGCGCTAATCGATTGGCGCAATCCCAACCGATTACACCTGCGCGCGCGTTGAACGACATCCGCCTATCCTGCCCACGTGTGACCGTAGCCCGTCCGTGTCTTCCGCTTTGTACACAATCCTTCACTGCCTAGATACACTAAGCTTTTCTCACTGGGCGCGGCGCGGTGATGAAGCTCACGCAAGCTTTCATCAAGCTTTAGCGACTGGGGTATATCCCGCTGTGTGCCGCGCACATGGGATGGATGGATGGCTAGTACGCGTCCGTTCCTGCAGCTTATGGCTAGGGTCGTGGATTGGGCGCGTTGTTGACGTAGGGGATGGTGGACTAGCTTGATTAGGCTGACGACGTTGGGTAGGTATAAAAGATGGATGGCTTTGGCTGGGATTGAGGGTGGCGTGTTGGTTCTTGTCGTCTTTTCGTTCCTACAAAAAGTCACCGTCTGTTCGTCGATATGAGTCAGTTCCTGATACTGGGTCTCGCTGCTACAGCTCTGGGTTACCCGGCTGTTAACAAGCACCATCATACTCCTCTCGAAAATGCAACCGACTACCTCGTCTCCGTCGGTCCTCGACCATACTACATCATCAGCAACATGACTGATAGCCCGTTGAAGCGGAAACTGCAGTCTTGTGAAAACACTCCGGTTTCTATCTCCCCATTCACAATCGGTCACCGCGGTGGAGGCACACTGCAATTCCCAGAAGAGTCAATCCGGTCACAAGATGCCGGTGCGCGGATGGGCGCGGGTATCTTGGAATGTGATGTGGCATTCACAAGCGACAGGGGATTGGTGTGCAGACACGATCTATGCGATCTACACCGAACAACAGATATCCTGCTCAGACCCGAATTGGCAGCAAAATGTACCACGCCGTTTACACCAGCAAATGCAACGAGTCCTGCGAATGCGTTATGCTGTACCTCCGACATTACGATCGATGAATGTATGATCTCACCTCCACCTCAACAACCCGAACCCCCAACCTCTACTAACAAAACAAAGTCAGCACCCTCTGCAGCAAACAAGACGGCTTCAACGCCTCCGCCACCACCCCGCTCACCTACCAAGCCGGCACCCCCCTCTGGCGCACAGAACTCTACGACACCTGCGCGCAGACCCTGACTCTAAACCAATACATCGACCTCGTAGACTCCTACCCCGGCTACCGCAACTTCACCCCAGAGTTAAAAACACCACCCGCAGCCGTCCCCATGCCTTTCCAGGGAAACTACACTCAGGCTCAATACGCATCCGACATGATATCTGCGTTCCGTCTGAAGGGGATAAGTGCGGATCGTGTTTGGCCGCAGAGTTTCTTGTTTGAGGATGTGGTGTATTGGATTGATAATGATGAGGAGTTTGGTGCGCAGGCTGTTTACCTGCAGGAGTTTGATACGCCGTCTGACCTCGCGGCTGGGTTTGCGAATCTATCCGACGCGCGCGCTGCGGGTGTGAATATCATCGCGCCCTCTCTTCCCATGTTACTTTCCATCGGCGGGGCGGATAACAACACGATTGTGGAGAGCGAGTACGCGAAAGCGATTAAAGACAATGGCATGGATATCATTGCGTGGACGTTTGAAAGGAGCGGGCCGTTGGCGAATGTGAAGAGGGACGGGGAGTATTACTTTGCGAGCATTGCGGATGTGGTGGATCATGATGGGCAGTACTATGAGGTGTTGGATGTGCTGGTTAGGGAGGTGGGGGTTAAGGGGCTTTTTACGGATTGGGCGGGGACGGTGAGTTATTTTGCGAGTTGTTTTGGGTTGGAGGGGCCGGTGGGTGGGAGTTATAGTAGGTGGGGGTTGGGGATGGGGGTGGGTGGGTGGTGAGGTTGGAGAGGGTAGAAGCAGATAGAGATGTGGAAGTGAACGAACTTAGAGTTTTGCATACACCATGACCTACGACAAGATGGTTTGTGAGAGGACATGAATGTTTACAGACACGTGAAACAAGGAGTATGATAAGGCAGTAATTCAAGACCGAAAAAAAGAAACAGTGTGGAAACCTCACTTTCGAACCGTAATCTGCTCTCATACCAGCCAACAGAATCGAGTACATGCGACCAGCCGCCGGACTCGTAGACCACCCACACCATTGTCTACTACGAACATACACCACATGCCCACATTAACCTCCATTTCATTCTTCTCCCTTTTCACACAATCACCTTTCCTCGGCCTATCCCTATCACGATCGTCAATCTCCCATTCGCCCAATTGCCAAACCCCAATCTCTATCTCGCAAAAATCATTGCATCTTCACCGCCCATGTCACCAGCAACCCAACCCTACCACATCCTCCTATCTACTCGGCAACAACAGCCGAACATATCCCCACAGTCTCGCTTCTAGACCTCCGTGCACTGTTCTTAGTACTGTCTAGCTTGCGTCCGTTCGAAGTACTTGCTTTCTTTCGGTCGCTGCCGTAATAGCGATCGACATGTTCGGCTGTTTTTTTGCTGTGTGGCGAACGGACTGTGGACAGGCGAACTAGCGGTGGTATTAGGGTTGTATTAGAAGAATCATGACTAGGTATGATAAGTACAGTGGTTACGGTCGGGCGGGTTCGGGTTTGGATCGGTGATGGCTGTTGGATGAAGTCGTGATGGGCGAGTCGGAGTGTTTGGTTGGTGCGCGGATAGTAGGGAAGGTTCTTGGGCACACACACAGTGATATTGATGAAGAAAGAGTCAAATCAATGGAACAAGTAAGTTCTTCGTTCTCAACTATACTATACTATCCTATCCTATCTCCTCCACTCTCTCAAACAAAAACACCAAGCTAAATCGCACTCTCTCAAAAAAAGTAGGTATCGGGGTATCACCAAACTCCAGCTCCACCAGAGAAGTAGGCAGCAAATCATAGAGACCGCGCAGAGAAAACAAGCGAAGACAGACACACAGTACAAACGAAGAGGTGCGCGGCAAGCCGCGTTCAACCAAGTACAAAGTATGGGACCTCCAAGTAGTACGTATGTCATGTGATGAGATATCGCATTCGCATAGCAGCGTCCTGATCGCGCGCCTAAAAAGGGGGGTATAACAAAACAGAGTCGACCAACTTGACAAAAGAAATGTTGGTCGACCACAAACAAAAGTGACAGATACCAAAAGCTCCAGTATTACCCAGTAGTTGTTGATAGCAATCCCACGAAGTTTCGTCAATCGTCGCAGACAAGAGAAAGATAGTGTGATTACAAAAGGAGTGTGTGTGGGTAATGTGACGGGAGGATTCGGTAATCCTAGAACATAGAACAAATGTAGCCGAGGACAAGTCCAGCGGGGAAGATAAAAAGGGGGTATGATGCAAAAGTCGCAAACAGAGGCAGGAGCAAGACGTAAACGGACATACATCCTCGTGATATGGGTGTTGTTTAGAAAACAATGTAACATGAGAAAAGGGTTTAGGTTGAATCAAAGACATGCGCTGCCAGTCGATGATGGCAAAAACCGTTAATCTCACGTTCATAGAACGAGGTACCCGACACCAGCCGCGAGCGCAACAACAAGCCCGTTGATCTGGAGCGAGGAAGCGGCGCCCTCGAATTGAGGGGGCATGGAAGCGGAGGCGCTGGCCATGGGGCCGGAGGCAGTGGGCATGGCCATGCTGGCGGTGGTGTTGCCGGCGGCGTACGAGGGGACGATGGTGGGGTGCGTGGCGGAGATGGTGCTGGTGCTGTTTGCGGCGGTGTAGCCGGCGGGGGATGAGGAGGACGCGGTGACGGTGTTGACGCGGTAGACGGTCGAGGTGATGTAGACGGTGGCGTCGTACTGGTCTTCCTGGGCGAAGGCGCAGACGAGGAGCGCGAAGAGCGCGGTGATGATTTGGGTGAAGGAGCGCATTTTGGTGGTTGGTTTGGTGTTGGTGGTAGTTGGATATGCGACTGTGAATGCGCAGTGCTTCGATGTCGAATCAGAAGAAGTGAGGGTTGCAAGTGTTATGCAGGTGTGTGTAAGATGAGCGACAGTGCTTTGTTTTTGTTTGGAATGCGAGAGAGCAGTGTGGATAGTCTTGGACCAAGTGATAGAGAGAGTGAGATATCAAGGATAGTACTTGTAGTGGTAATGAGTGTGGGTAAGCTTAAAGCTTTAAAAGATCGTGAGAGAGCGAGAGAGAGTAAAAGAGGGTTTGTCTCGCAACGTTTGAGGAGGGTGAAGGGGAAACAACGGGCAAGGCAGGGAGCAAGGTGGGCCGCCCCCGGCGCCTTGTATCGTGTTCCTAGCATCCTTGCCGCCAGTGCAATTTCCCACTGCCAAAGCGCAATTTCGGTCCCCCTGGGCGCGCTAACGCAGGTTCGGGCGTGCTAACGGGAGTACCTGAGCAAGGAAGCTGCCGATCTGGCGCTTGGCAATGGCGGCCACGGCAAATCTCTGCACTGCATCCCTGTCCGCGCGCGCTCCTGTGGTTGGCCTGAGGTGCAGCGCTGCACGCTGAACTACCGAGGTATCCACTGCTACGGCCAACGTGCTGCACGCTTGCTGCATCCTCGTGACGGGCGGGTGGTGACCTCACTTCTCACTCCCATTGCTAGGGGCAACCTTGAGGAAACTCGCTGAGATGCTGTCATCGCCCATCTCATCTGCGAACTCAAGGTTCACGCCCCATGATCCTCACCATGCTCAAGACCAAGTTTCAACGCCCATCACCCCAGGCAACTTCTCTCACCCCATGCGTTCCACATTCCTACTCCAGCCCGAGTAGCCTGAGTCCACAGTGTCGCGCCTCAACGCACGGACGCTGAAACAATGCGCAGCGAATCGTGCCGTCTGTTCGGCCTCCAAGGCGGAAACGCGACTGTAGGCAGCTAGGCCAGCACGATTGCTGGACGCTGTACACCGGCGGGCCACTCAGGGCGGAAACGCGACTGGACGCAGCTAGGCCAGCACGACTGCTCAGGGCGGGAACGGTGACTGGAGCCAGCACGACAAATTTCGTCGTGCTATTACACCGCACCTTTCTAACTTCTCAGCTCGCGCACTCGTGGCACGCTACCCGTTGCGACATGTGTTCTGAGTAACACAGTAAGCCAACCAGCGCCCGCCTCGTCTCAGACCCATCCCATCTATACCCATCTATAGCCCTCGGGGTGAGGTTAACAACGTGGTCGGCGGCAAGACGAGGCTATTGTTGCCTGGACACCTTGGCGTTGCTGAACGCGGAAGAGACGGTAACAACGAAGCGATGAGAGAATTGCTGTCTGTGATGGTGGTGTGGAACTGTGTAGAGAATTTCTTGCAAAGAGTTTTGCTTGCGTAGTACTGCTCAACATATGCACGCAATGCATCTTGTGACTCAAAGTAATCTTCACAGTAAGTAGCATGTGAAGCGTCCAGATGCGCTCGCCAACACATCCCCATCAATGCAACATCGCATGCATCGTGAAGGAAAATCAAAAACCACCCACTGACACACAGGAACAAGTAACGATCATCCGCTGCAAGATTGAAATTACAATTACACAAGCGAGCATGGCGCATGATTGGCTCCCTACCTAGCCCGCACACTACCCCTACCATTACTAGTACACAATATGGGCTTCTTTCTTGTCTCATTTCCGCCTTTCGCATCGTGACCCATCCATCGCATTGAGGCCATGTCAAATCCAGCTCCTAACTTCCGCTCTTCTCAAATGAAAGCAAACCAGGCCAAGCAAGTGCGCGCCTGTGCAATGCGACCTAGGAGGCTCGCATGCTTGCAATTCGGTCGGACTGGCAGATTGAAAATCGAGGGCGCGCGCGCACACGCAAATTTGACAATAAATCATCTGTCCATCGCACTCGCTTTCGTTTCCTCGATCGAAACCAATGGTCGTGTGTTGTGTCGTGTCATGCCAACGCCTCCGCCAGTCGCAAGGTTTAGGACGGGGAACCACGACTCTGTGCCACGCGCAAAAGTTAGTTTGAGCGCAAAATGCAAATGCAGCAACAGCAACGACCACCACCACCACGACTTCATGCATGTCTCTTCGGCTTCATTGCCGGCGCGACAATATTCGCAAATGCCCTCTTCCCCAACCATACCATGCTGTTTCCAGCCAGACTAGACAAAGCCCCCTTGCGCCATAGCAACCCGTGCGTGCAGTCGACGATGGGAGAACAAAGACACTCATTCCCTCATCCCCCAGCGCAGACTACGGCAAAATGCAGAGAAAGGGAAGCAAGCGAACGCACGAACCTGGACAGTAAAACAGTCTTGGCAATCCCTCACACAATAGTCGCAAAGACGCAAACAGAGCGCCGCGCTGCGAGTCGTGGATGTTTGATCAGCGCCGTCGCCAAACAAACCACACTATTGTCTTCAGTCGGCTTCGACCACTTCGGCACTCTCCCATAAACGGCGACAGATCTCCTCGGCTTCGTTTCGGCTGCGCGCCTGGTCACTCTCGAAACTCTGTTGGAAGTCGTTCTCGTCGCGACTAGTCTTGCCGCGACCTGCATCATGGTCGAAACTGACTCGTGATCTCCGCGAGCCCGTCCCATCTGTTTCGACGCCGCTTTCGTTGAAACTTGTGCTCAGGCTGCTGGCTCCTGTCGTGAAGCCGTTTGCGCCGTGCGACTTGGGTACGCGGATTTTGCGTGACATGCCAGGGGTTTGGTAGATTCGTGCGAGCGCGTCTGCAATTGGGTTGCGGTATCTTCGCACTACATTGTACTCGACCGCGACGTGGTTGAACTGCTGTTGCAGGCGTGGATCTAGACGCCCCTCACCATTGCCGTTGTAGTGGATGCTGGACTGAAGGTATGTGGGACCGCCCGTGCGGGGAAGCGTTACGGGAACGAGCTTCTGCGGTTCAATGTTGGACGACGCACGTTGAAGCATGAGCTTCTGCTGTGTCCGCGATGGGGGTAGGTTGGTTGGCGTAGTCGTGCCAGAGCGCTGGGGCGTCTTGGAGGGTGTGTCCGCGCCGCCCTTGAAGTTTGGCATTGACTTGTTGCGCTTGATCTTGTCCACCTCCCCTTCATCGGTGTCGTCTTTGAGCTGATGCGCAGCCATGTACTCGCCATCGTGAGGTGTCCCAGCGGAACCGTCTCCGTCCATGAAGCGCGATACGAGGTTGTTCCCCGGAGTGTCGACCAAGGTAGATCCAACAGACCCAGCTGTATGACTGAGCAGATTATGACGATCGGAGGAGGATACGACAGTTGCGGCGACCGACGATGTCTGGGGAGCGACATGGTGTGAGGCGCTGCGCTGTAGTAGTCGCGATGTGATCATATCAGCATCTGGAGGCCGAGAATGTTGATAGGAGCTCCCGCCGTTAACCTGCGTGTTTGTGCGCGTGCGGTCGGTGAGCGTCTGAGTCGCCTGGTTGGGCGCTTCTCGAACTATACCAGCCGACTGTTGCGGCTCTCCTCTATTCTTCTCCATGTTGATCTCCGCCGCTCTGTGTTGTGCCTCAAGTATGACCGAGTTGGAGCGCGTGTTGGATCGGGTAGTAGTGGGCGACTGTGACGCACTTTCTTCGGTCCACCCACCCTCTTCCTCGTCGTCATTGGGCATGTCAAAGTGGACCGCGGCGTGTGGCTCCGGAGAACTTTGCCGAGACCGAGAGGGAGTCGCGAGCGCACGCTTGGAAGTAGCGTTCTCGTTCTTGGACCCCTTGAGCGCGTGTTTCGCATGCCCTTGCCGCGGCGGGAGATGGCCGCTCGAGTGGTTTTTGCGCAGGTTGGCTTGCTGCGTGTTTGCTCTCACAACGGCGCCGGAAGACGCATGGCGCTTCATTCCGGGACGCGCGTGTGGGCTGCTGGGCGCCGAAATGGAATTGCCCGACTGCGAGCGGCGGTGGTGTCGCCCGGTGTTTTCTGCGCCCTGGAGCGCCTGCTGAGCCTGCTTCTCGGCTTTGCTCAGCTTGTTGAGGTTCTTGCCGAAGGACGTGTTCCTCTGCACGCGTTGGCCGACGACATGATGGCGCTGGCTCTTGTGATGGGCTGAGCGCTGGGCGCCCTCGGACGGCGACTGCGAGATGTGCGACTGCGACGACGACTGTCTGGTCATGGCGGCTGGCCGCTGGGGCCGCGAATTAGAATCGTCTGCCGAGGCCATGCTTACTTTCGCGCGCGTGTCGAGGGAGGTGAGGTCGGGGAGCCGTTTGGCTGTGGGAGCTGCACGTAATGATGCAAGTCTGCGGATCGTAGGAGTCGAGTGGAGCAGCCAGCTGGGTTTCGTTGTGCTGGCAGCCGAGCGGATCAACGGGCGGCCATGGAGATTCAATTGTGTGCGTTGGAGCGTTAGACGTGGTACAGCGTGCCACGTTGGGCCCAATGATGTTGATGGAGATGGTGGAGTCCATGCCCGGCCATCAAATGAGTAGGCGGTGAAAACGCCCCAACCGCTTTAGGTTCACCGCGGCCCGTCCCCACGTCATATGATCGTGCTCTCACCTCTTCACTACCGCGCATTCCAACATCACTTCACGACATATCCTGTGCTGTATCTGCATTATTTATTATAAACTAAGGCCCTACGTTATATCTGATGCAGTTGTGCTAAATACCGCGCGCCTGCGCATCCCACAGTGTACCGACTGACAGAATGAACCTCCCTGTTATGGGTATGAAGATGCCAGCTCTCCAAGGTAAACAGTCGTATAGTCATGTACTCATATATGGTATGTGTCTTCCGGTCATCTCTTCGTCAGTCATCATCGTGGTCTCGTGTCTCACCTCGCGTCTGCCTTGTCGCTTCTCATGTTGCAAGTCCTTGAGCGAATCTCTTCAGCTTGCACCTCATTCCCCGTTGTAATGCCGCTCGCTGCTGACTGATCTGTCGTTGTGTAGGGTTCATGCCATCGATGCAGCCGAAAGAAGAAGTGCTTAGCAGAGACTCAGGGCGCGACCGGTAAGAAGGTGGTGGAGGTCCCGAGAAGTATGTCGGAGCGTCGGAAAGGTCGCCCATCGAGTCTTCGCGGATGAGACCGGCCGCTGCTGTCGATGGCCGGGTACTGTCTGCGCTTCGTGCCGTGCGCATGAATATGGCATTGAGACGGCGCTCAAAGACGCTCTCTGTATCGCCGTGTCGTGCACTCGCTGGCGTGCCCATCCGGGAGGGTAGCTGCGACTGTTGCTCGATTGACAGAAGCGCACTGGCGCGCGTCGAAGGATGTCGTGTCGATGGCCTTGTGATGGGGTGACAAAGCGATCCAGATCGGGACATGAGCATGGTACCAGGGGCTTCCGCAGCGTCCTCGTAGGAGATGGCTAAGAGTGGCATCGATGCTGACTGTCTGTTGATTTGCTTCCGACATGCCTGGCGCTGAGACTTGGTTCGTAATAGCGAAGGCATCTGAACCTGCATCTTTTTGGCGCAACGAAGGAACGACTTTCCGTGTTGACTGGTGGCTGTCGATGGTCTGACGACTTCGGGTGCTCCAATCACGGGAATAGCGTGCTGAGCCACGGCCGAGTCTTTGGCACCTACATTTGTCGCTGCTCTCCAGTACGAAAGGCCTCCCATGAGCGGGGGTGAAGGCGTGTTCATGCTAGCATCGAGCCATGCATTGACGTCCCGTATCACGCTAGAATCAGGTCTCGCTGGACGAAGAGGAGGTAGAACCGGCGGTCGAGGCGACACCCGCTCTACAAGTATCGGGAGCGGGGGTACTGCTGGTGCGTCTTGCAGGCTCGGTGTCGCTCCTGTTGAAGGTGCCGTACGCGGCCGCCTGACTGATGGTTTTCGCCGTATCTCAATTGGTCCCTCATCGTTCTTCAGCGTCTGTCGCGATGCCACTTTGCGAAGATGCCGTTGCAGCCACTTCTTCGCCGTTCCATGCTTGCTAATGGTTGTAGTAGTCGTCTGTTCTGTAGTGGTAGCCGTCATGCTGTGTGAATCCGAAGGAACTGTTTGCGAGAATGTCGTACGCTGAGTGATGCACGGCGGTAACAGTAATGTAGAAGAGGTGAGAGTGGGAATGCGGAAGTGACTTCATGTGGGTTGGAATGGTTGTCAGCGTTGACGGCAGGCGCGGATGAGCTGCCATCGTAAGTTTCGGACGTCATGGGCTGAATGAGGAAAATGCTGTCATGGGGTTGTTGAAGGGGCAGTCACCCCCAAGGTTGAGGAAGGCACGTCTCGGTGACCTTCACTTATCGGCACAGTACTTTTCTTATCGACATTGCAAGAGCTCAGACATTTGCGAGAGATGTGATTATCTTGTATACTTAGGTATGACGAGATTTCTTCGTCCAATTTCACTGAAAACAGCGTATAAGATACCGATCTAACCACGCTGAATGTCCTGCATCGCATCGCCCAGGTTTGGGCCGGACCATGGCGGGTCCAGCAAGCCCCTATTATGCTCATTGATTTCCTGCCGTATCTTCTCTTTCTCCTCTTCCGTTTTATTCGGATCTAAGAGATTGCCGTCGTCGCCCTCCGACGAAGCCGATGGAGTTGACATTGAACCCGCGCTTACCTTGCGAAATGTCCTCTCTGTAGGATTGGTCGAACACGCTTCCCTTCGAGCAGGTTTGGCAGATGGGGTGACAGATGTGGTGACAGATGGAGCGGCAGATGGGGTGACAGATGTTCGTGGTTGGTTCAGCGGCGGTGGACGTACGTTCGCTGCGGGTGATGAGGGAAGTGGGGGAAAAGAAGAATTAAATTCTCGTTCTTCTTCGGGTGAGCGTGAACGACGGTATATCGGGGTAGGATGTTCTATGCTTTCCCGGCGTGGATGCTTCTGTATAGGACGGAGAAGGTGATACGCTCGTCTTGCAGCATGTCTGTAAAGATCTCGTTCAATTTCTCTTCGCCGACTCTTCGCCAGTCTGTCAGCTTTCGGCTCCGTCGGTATTGACTGCTGGTTCTCCTTAATCCCATCGTTCTCGATATCTGCGTCTCGTTCGGAAACGAGCTTGGTGTTTGTTTGCCAACTCTTCGCCAGTCTGTCAGCTTTTGGTTCCGTGGGTATCAGTTGTTGGTTCTCCCTATGTGCATCTCGTTGCGGGACGGCTGATGCCTCCTCCGTCTTCTGCCGGTCGGCTTTGGGCCCCTTGGGTACCTGATTCTCTTTGAACCAGTCCTTCTCGATCTGTGTATCCTTTTCTGGAACGGACGATGGCTCTCCTCTCCTAGTACCGCGTCCCATGCCTCTGATCGGAAGGCCGTTGCCAACTCCTCTACCCCTTCCACCCTGGGAAGTATTGAGCGCTCCACCATTCAAAGTGTTATTGAAGCTTCCTCTACCTATCTCACGGAAACCGAAGTTAGTGGAACTTCTTGCTCTCCGGTCATTGCTGTTTCCTCGGTTTCCACGTGGTGCTCCAGACATGCCGTCAAGTCTTTCAATTCTGATTGCAACCCAGTTGAGATGGACCAGCGGTAAAGTATGACGCTCTTGTGAACGCGAATTTTGACTTCCGTTCAACAGTTTGTGCCGTCAATCTACCATTCCGGTGCTTTCGTCACCAGTCCAAGTCATGGATCACATGGAACAGCCAGACGCTTCTCCACGCACCCAGCAAATACGTGCCAGACCACACCTATCTATTTGGAATATTAGCTGCCTTCTCATCCACCAACTCTCCCACACTCTACCCCTCCCTTTTCTCTACACCCAGCACAATTCAACCTCCCAATGCGCCCCCTCGCACGTTTCCGCAAACGCATCCTCTACGCCCGATCAACCCTCCGCCTCACCCTCTGCGCAGACGGGAAACGACGCTGCCGTAGAAGACGACTCCGCTACATTATTACCAATTTACGCGATTTACGCGATGCAGCAATGAAGACCGCTGACTCCGTATCAAGGCAGCTAGACCACCTGTGGTGCTGAGATGAGGGTGAGAGCGCTGGCAGCTATCTTGTTATTCGTCACAGTGCTTATCTTATTGTGCGTGAAGGCTTTGCTGTTGACGGACTCAGGACGAATGTGCAGGGGCTTGTTTTGATTATGAATGTCGGTGTTCGATGAATCCATTTGTGTCGGAAGTATAACGGTGGCGTCTGTGTCCTCCTAGTGTGGATGATGTTGACGAAGACGAGGCGTTGCCGGTACCATGCGGTGCACTCGGCCTGTCTCAATCCGTTCTGTGCGACATTAGCACTACACACGCAAAATCTCCACACTTCCAAAACATAACAACAGAGGCATTCAAAGATTTTAATATAATTGATTCTTCCACCCACTCCACCCCCATCCTATCCTATCCTATCCTACCATCCCCCCATATTTCTCTAATATCTAACAAGTGAAAAAGTTTGGTGTTGGGTATATACAACTTAAAACAGCACAAAAGACCTCCCAAGTGAGTACGGTGCAACAAGGACATTTGCCCGCCAGTGCCAACGAAGGCATGTTGTGTAGACATCTACATAGGAAAAACAAAAACGATGCTGATAACAATCTCGATAGCTGAGTACAAAAAAGAAGAAAGAGGAGAAGAGGCTTATTAGTACGTATATATATGTGTGATGATGTAAGAGAGATGGTTGCGGTAAGCAAAAATGTACCGTTCTGTTGTTGATAAAAGGAAATTGAACTGGGGGTATCAAGCTGTCAAGGCTGGGTAAAATGGGTATAGCGAAAAGCCGAGCTGAGTAGTAGTAGTTAGAAAGATAAGAAAGTCGACAAACGAAAATTTGCGGTAGATATGAGATATGTCGGAGATGGAGAAAAGGGAAAGATCGCTGTAGAGTGTGGACTGTTCCGTGTATCGCGTTCCGTGTATCACGTTACGCCTTTGCCCGAAGAGTCCGACGCCGGTTTGGTGACAATTTTCGCTGTTCTATGAACAGCATCAAACAGTTTCGCGGGTTCGATCAACCCATCGAGACGCTGGGGTCGTTGGAGCCGACAAAGCCCGTTGACATGCCCATGTCCATGCGCAGGAATTGGTCTTGGTGGCTGTCGAGACCGTCCATGCCGCTTGACATGCCCATGGAGTTGCCCATGCCGCTCATGTTATTTTGGTTCATGGCGTGGGGATCCATCATGGCTAGCGATTCTCGGCGACTGCTGTCAGCTGAGCCGACGTGCTGCACATGGGGCGAGAGCT